ACACCAATTGGTCGCAATCTTATGAATGTACAAAGCTGTTGCCACGATAAAAGAGATGTATCGAGCACGTACAAATATCTAAGAAAATGTAAACCATCTTGTTGAAAAATGCAATTAATTATTAACTCGTAAAAAGACAAATAATTGACAATAATTTTGATATTTTTTCCAGGAAAGATTTATTTAAACGCAGTGAAATATAAGATTAGCTTAGAAAGAGAATATTTGTGACGAGATTTAAAAATTTTTGAATCTGAAATAATTGAAAACAAATTAAACAGAGAAAGGAAACAATTATATAAAAACGCAATTTAATAATTTAATATCAATAATATATATTAATATATAATTAAAAAATTTAATACAATAACATTATTTAAATCTGAGAAAAGAAATTTAGAATAAAGATGTGATTTGAATTTAATAAGCTAGAATAAAAAATTTGAAGAAAATTAACATAATTATAAATATATGTAATATTTTATAATTTTATATATACAATTTTATCCACACTTTGAATTTATTAATTGCTTAAGATTGTAAAAAGGAATTAGAGAAATTACACTGTTATCTTTTTCAATTATTATTTTCGATCAAAAAAATTTGAGAACCGAAGACAATTAATCTCTTTGATTGTCACTATCCGTCCCCTTCTCTCTTGAGAAAAGAAAAGTAAAAATTACGCGACTTCTAAAGCATCGCATAGACGTTCACATCCGTGCCGCGGGCATCCGTGTCGGAAAGTGAAGTATCAAAAGGGCGATGTACGAGCGGAATAAGAGTGAACGCTAGTCTCTCAAGCCCCAGCTCCGTAGCTCTCGAGTAGGTTGTCAGAAGCCTCCGGGGCACAGTTGCACCATCTCCGGACGGAGTTAGACCCCCTTGGGCGAACCGGCGGCCTTATTTACCCTTCCACTACACTGGACCCGGGCGGCCCACACATCACGCGTATGCCCCGTGTATGCTTCAATTAAAACGTGTTTACCGCGACTAAACGCGAAGTTCACGATCCGATCCTTTCACGAAGAAAAAAGGTGAATATGCGAAAATTATCAGTTTAAGACGAATACCTAATTTAATTTTATTTTAAAATATATATTAATTTCTCAAAATATAGGATTAAATTTACACTTGACTGCTACTTAATCGCTGCGAATTTTATAATGAAATAAGATAGAAGTCATCAAAAATACGCATATATATTTTATTAATATTATTAATTATTTCATGTTACTCAATTATTTATTTTGCTCCATTTTATTTTACATATTAATTATTTTTCAATTCATTTTCAATTCATTTCATTTTTTTTGTTATTTCAAAAAAAATTTATATAAATTAGTAGACAATTAGACATCAGACAATTAGACTCCACGTATTTTTTTATTTTAAAAAATTTTTTAAATTTTATAGTATTTTTTTATTTCTTAAAATTTCTTTAAGTTCTTTTCAAAACAGAACCGAATTAAAAGTTAATATCATTTAAATAATAATGTTCATTAATATAATATTAATTATAAAAATTATTTATAATTAATTTTCCTTCTTTCTCCTTTCTTCCTGTGAAATTTAATAATTCGTCCCAAACTTTCAACGTAACTATTACAGTAGTCATCGAAAAAAATATTCATACCGGTCAACGGGCGGACCATTCATCTCTTCGTGATCGCGTCGCGCGAATTCTGATTGATACAAAGGAGGCCGCTCGAGTGCTCTTCGCAAATCGACCGGCCGTTCGCCGAAAGTTCGCGTGTCGACAGAGCACAGTGCGCTATAAATTGTTTCGAGGACGAGGTCAGTTCGCGAATTCGAAAGGACGAGCATGATTTAAGGATGAGATTCCCACCCTCCGTTCCCTTTCATCTATTTAACCATCTTAACAATTCTCTTCGCGGCGCAGTCGCTTATCAAGAAACTCATATTAGAAATTGCACGAATTTGCAAAATTCGAAAAATTTGAGCGTTTAATTTTAGGTGTTTCTTTTATTCACAAGTCGAAAAAAAGACCGAAAACAGCGAGTATTCCACAAATTCTGTTCAATTTATATTATTATTATATATAATAAATAATTAAGTATGTAATAGTCAATAATTTCCATAATTAATATTAGTGATCACTATTTAGATTATATTAATTTTTAATTTATCAGTTTTTTCGAAAAGCATCTAACATAAAGTCTATATTAATAGTTTACGCGTCAATCTTTTTTTATTATTATAAATCTATTTTTATTATACATATATTATTCTATATTTTCCATAATCTATTGTGTTTTATATTTTCACATATACAGGGTGATTCATTTTAATCTCAGGCAAATATTTTGAAAAATATACGAGATACGAAAAAGTGTTTTAGACAAAAGTTATATGGTTTTAAAGGAGACATAAGATGGTGTCATGAATTTGATCTTAAATAATTACTTGAAAGTCACCCTCAATTTTTTTAATGGAACCGCCTATTTTTTATTACATATTCTTGTAGCTTATTTCGAGAACTTTCCAAAACATTATAATTAAGTTAGTTTTCATTAAGTACTTTCCGAGTTATGAGGCTTGAAATCATTTCTTAATTTTACATAAACCGTAAAATATTCATTTTTCGATTATCTTACCTTAATACTTTGAAGTACTATTTAAGTAAGACTTTGAAATAACTATTTAAGGTCAAATTAATGAAAGCATCTTATGTCTCCTTAAAACCATATAACTTTTGTTTAAAACATTTTTTTATATCTCGCATGTTTTTCAAAATATTTGCCTGTTAAGATTAAAATTAATCACCCTGTATATTTTTTATAATACATGCAATATATTATTTTTGTTTCTCTGTTTTTCGTAATTGAAAGATGTAAGAATAAAAGAATCAAAATGATAGAGCGATCAACATGGTGCACAAAACGCTAAAACGTGAAATAGCACAAGATTATTGCGGAAAGAGGCTTTTACAATAACTACAAGATAGTGTAATTTCATAATGAAGCAATTTAGGCGATTGCTGCTGATAAGGATTAATCACGCGCGAAAATCGGGTCATATCGATACCATCTGACGAAGGATTATCCTGCGATATCCGATTTCGGTCTTTTATCTCGAAGAAATCGCGATTAAAGATCACTTTATTCTATCGACGATTATCTTATCTTCTTCTTCCTTTAATCTTCTTTTGAACGATGATTTCGCATTGATTGGAATGGCGTATCTGACATTTTACATAAATAGATTCGCTCAAGAAATTATTTGCGTTAAAATATTCCTCACTTTGTAGCATGAATGCTCGATCATACAAATCACGATTTATCGCCTCTCTTTTTTATTCAATACTATTTAGATATTAAATTAAAATATATTAATGAAAGAGTTACACGTCGTCACGTTACGCGGCGAGTCGAATCTTTTATTCTCCATAAGGAAAAAAGATCGATTCACGAAACGAGAGTGAGAGTGATTAGATGACTGAGTCGCAAAACTTCGAAGTGAATGGAGATCCCCACTCTCTTGTCAGTATTCTGTTTGAAATATAGGGTGTTCGAAAAAAAATGCGATTCTTTCGCGTATATACATATTTTAAATAATAATAATAAAATCTTTCCAGTCATAATTATAAAACTGCAACTTTAATTCTCACGCAAAGAATTAATAATTAAATTGTTAATCATTTTACAGTCTCAAATGACGATAAAAATGTAAGTTACTGTATTTATTATTCACTTCCATTGGAACGTAAAATGCAAGAGACGTTTAACAACTTTTATTAAATTTATACATATCCTTACGATCTTTTAAGAAGCGCGTGTCTCCGATCCATTCAACGAGTATCCGAAACATAATCATGATCGATGTGGCTCATTTAGCAGATGCGAAGAGCAGGTTTTACGCGCGAGAGATACAAAAAAACGGTCAATATGAGATATGTTAATTAATTATTAATCATGACGTAAGCGAGACGACAATACGCACTACTTTGTTGTATGTGTGTCTTCGTTAAATGCAAATATCACTAAAATATCCTCAAGAGATTAATATATGCTTTCCTTTTTTTAGAATCTCCCGCTATATATGCTACAAAGTTTTTTAATTCATGAACATTTTTGCGAAATTGCGAAATTGTCGTTTTATCTGATATTAATCCTCAATAAATGGAAATCTTTTCATACAAATCTTTACATTGTGGATTAATTAAATGTCAGATTGTTTTATTTTGCGTTGCTCAAAAGACTTGATGGCTGTTATTGTCCATAATTATCTTTTAAGTAGTAATTCTTTTTAATTTAAGTGTATAAGTTATATATTAGAAAGTTAAATTTTCTGCTATTAATTGTCATACGTGATACAAAAAATATCGTTGAAAGTATACAAAGTGAATAAATAATTATTACAAATTAATTAATTATTAATCGATACAAATTAAATATTATTTTACCTATCTTTGATACAAAATAATAAGATAAAACATCAAAAGTAGGAAATATAAAAAGTAGAGAAGGTAAAATGGAAAATTGCTTACATATATGAATGGGCTCTTTTTAACAAGAAGAATTTGTGCGTAGACGAAACACCCAATAGCAGGGTAGAAAGAGAAAAAAATTCATATTTTGATGAAACAAATTTAGCGTCCTTCCTAAACTTACACAAAAAATGTTTATCATATCAATTCTTTTCTTTCAATGCAAAATATACTTTCAAAAAGTTATCTGTTATAAATTATTTATTTCCTTATTCACATGTTATCGTGAGTAGGATTAAAATATAGATTTAATAAATTAAATCTGATTTATTTCATTTAAATTTACTATCTTATTTTAATTTCTGAAGCTAATTAATTAAATCGTTGATAAACAAATTCTATATTCATAAAATCTCTAAATTTAAATTTCTTTTTAATTTAGAAATTTTAAATAAATTTGGGAATATTAAATTTAAAATATGCTTTGAATTTTATTCAATTTTATTTTTTTTAATAATTTTATTTTTATGATTAGAATAATAGTAGCACGTACCTGAGCCAAACTTGCCACAGCGAGGCCAAAGGTGAATGCAATATGCACAACAGTCGGCGGCGTATTTTCTATCCACGTAACGCAAGAGGCACAGCCTATGAGGACCAACAGGAACGTGCCCAGAATCTCGGCGAACAGCATCACCAGGAAGTCGAGCTTGGTGACCTCTTCAAAGCCGACAAACTCCTTAATACCTGAAATAAAAAAAATCATAAAATTAAATTTAATATATTTTTCTAAAAATTTAAGCTTTTTTTTTTTGAAGAAAAAATTCCTCTAATTTTTATAACTTTAATTTTTGCAACCATAATTTAATCTACTTGATTTAAAAAATTTTTATGGATTCAATTTTACAATGATTCTTGTATATTTCTTATATTTAAAAATAATCAAAGTAAAAAAAATCAAGAAATTTTTGTAATTTGTAACAATTTTTTTAACTTAAAATTTATTTATCTATAATCTTTTTTATTAATTTAATCAATTTTTGTAATTATTATTTTTTTATTTAAACTTATTAATTAATTTATAGTTTCAGTTTATGTTAATTTGTAAAGTAGAAATGTTTAAATATTGAAATGTGTGAATGTAAATTAGAGACTTTAAGTAAAAAAGAATGAAAAGAGGGATAATAATGAAGGAAATTAAATTTTTATCACGATATCAAACGATATGTAAAAAAACATGTGTCCCATCCTATTGAAGTGCAGTGGAGTAGATTATATAGTTGTGATTAAAAGGCATGATTAAAAGACATCCACGTGATAACATATCCAAAATAAATGTTTGATACAAATTAAAGATGAAAGTTAAGTATCCGACACATTATTGTGGAGAATTTCCCGAATAGTTTTGAACATCAAAATACAAGGGGTGTCTCACTTACCAAAAATTTATACATGTATTACGAATTACCAGGAAATTTAAAGTAATTTTGCTTAATTCTAATTTAACTTTTCTTTTAAATTTAGCAAATAAAAATAGATTATTTTGATTTTTGTGAACTTAACTTATTTATTCATTAAAATAAAGCAAAATTACAGAATATAATAATACTATTAAACCCCATCATTATCAATAAATATAATTGTTTTGCTCTGTAATTAATATCAAACTTGTAAATAACATTTATTTCTAAAATTCTATTTGTCTAATTTAAAAAAAAATTTTAACTATAAAATTTATATTATAAAATGAAAGAATATTTTAAATTCAAAAATAATAAAATTAATTATATATATTAAGAAAGTTATAATCTTTTGTTGTACTTATTTGATACGATGATACGATATACAATATTACAAAATACGAACATATGCAACAAGTCTGTATCTATCTTTAGAGTCTATATAGTCTATATTTATCTTTATATAAGTTTGTGTATGTGTCTACTAATGTTTAATTTTAGAAAAAAATACTAATTATTATTTAATAACTGTTTTAAAAATCCTGTTAATATATTATAAACTATGATTATAGTTACTGGAAGGAATGACACAAGCACAAGAGAAAACGCGTATATTATCTTTATCAATTTATTTAGAACTATACGCCGAGCTAAAAAGATCGTGTTCTCATTATTTCCATAGATTAATAAAAACGGACAGGAGAAGTGTCGGTGTTGGGCTGAATAGCTCAGTGGTAAGAGCAGTCGCCCGGCAAGCTAAAGACTTGGGTTTGATTCCCGATTCAGCGACTTCGCCCCGATATTTTTCCTGTCTACATCTCTTCAGGGGAGTAAAGAGGGTGTTATAGAAGTCTCAAATCAAGAGAATCTATAACTTGGCATATACACCAAGTAAAATATATGTATAAATGTCTTGTGCACGTCTTAAAAAAAAAATTTTTTCGTGAACAATTAATGTTTGGAAAAAAAAAAAATTTACGCAATACCATCCGTGTTTTTAGGCTCTTATCGCTCGTTTCATAATTATCACATCATTTATTTTGTTGTATTAATTTTAATATATAATTAAAATGTTATGTTGTATAATGTAAATGTTCATAAAGCAATTTTTGTCATTTTATACGATTTATTTTAGCAGATTTGAACAAATAAGAGTATCTTTCTTTTTACGACACCTTATATACTGGTTATATTTTTGATCACAGCGCGCAGTTTGCCTATGTAATTTGCTATACAGTCAACAAACGACGCATATCTTCGTTTGCATGCATCGTCACGACAAATACTACCTTGAATCCCATTCTTCCACTCATAATTTTTATCGATTACTTCCTCTTTTTTTTCTACACGTGTGATCGGGATGAAAATTTTATGTTAATAAATCTTTCCGCATGCTTGAAACACTTTAAGACGTTTAAGAGACTCTCTCATTTCATTCTCGATTTATTCTCTCATTTATCGTTAGTACATTTTTGAGTGAAATGCAAATATTACTTATCTATAAATGTAATTTTACATTTATGTATATTTTATTTATAAGATAGAAATATACAGATTTTGTTAAAGTCTTCGAATCATTGACCTGCAAAAAATGACACGAAAAAATTTAACGTCTCTTAGAGAGATCTTATCTTTTTTTGATTAAGTTCTAAGAGGAGAATGATGGATAAAATACAGAATAAAAATAATATATTTAAAAGAGACAAGATAATTTATGATATAATAAATCTAAAAAATTAAATAACTATCTTAAGAAAATAAGATAATTTACGTGATACAATAAATCTACAAGAAATTTTAACAGACATATAAAGGTAGAGTTAATTAATTTTCTATCTGGTAAACATTTTTTTCTCTTTCACTCTTGATTCAGTTCTCGATTCACAAAAAGCATATTTAACGAGGATATTTAATTATCAATTACATACTGTTCCCCCAAGCTTCCTTCAATACCTTTATTCTGTTTGCTCATGATTGTTCCAAAACCAGTTCACTCTATCACCCCTTCGGATTTCCCTTAAGTTTTTTCGAGGAAGTTCCCCACGTTGGCGAAGACGAGCCGATTTCGATCGTACTCGACAACCTCCAAGGCAGAAATGCCCTTGACGTTTTCGGGCTTACTTGTCACTAACTTTCAACACTGTCGGAAATTTTCTCTTAGGAAATGTGGAAAATCGGAATATGTCTGTGCGTGGGAAAACGTGAAGAGAGCGGAGGACCGGCACTTCCTGCGCTATCGCGAGTACACACTACGTGAGAGAGTTTCTGGGCGACGTGCGCGCGAGTTTCGCCTTCATATATCGCTTGCGTTCGCCAACCACGGGGTCCTCCCTCTTTCCAAACAACGCGCGCGCGCGCGGATCTCCCTGCCGCCCTCCTGTCACCTCTTCAGCCTCCCACCGAATGCGGCGAAAGCTTCTTGAGGATGGAAGAAGTCGAGGATCGCTCACACCTGGGGAGATTCTGTCATTCTCGATCTGTCAGAATGCAAAATCCGACCTATCGCGCACTTATGATAAGCGACGCGTTCCCTTTAAACCTGCGATGGAGCTTATCGTTCCAGTATGTGTTATGATATCAAAGAAACTTTATTATTAATTCTATTCTAAAAATTTTATTATTAATTTATCATTAAGAAAAATTATCATTAAAATATTAAAAATACAAATAAATTAATATTATTTTAATAATATAAATAAATAATACAAATTAAAAATACAAATAAATTTAAGATAATTAATAATAATTTAATAATAAAAATTAAAAATACAAGTAAATTTAAAATAATTTGAAAGTATCTCATAAAAGTAAACAAAAATTTGCTTTTAAATTATAACCCGACACACAATTACAGAATGTAATTTAATTATAACATAATTTTGTAATTTTTTTTAAGATACCAAGAAAATTATTGCAAAATTTCAAACATATGTGTGAAATTTAAAAATTAGAACATTTTCGCGTCCAAGCCTACAAATTATTTACAAATCTGAAATATATTTCCGACACTTCTTCATATTTTTTTTAATGTCGGCCAAGTTTTTCGTTTGCAAAAATTCACTTTTCCGATTTATTGGATACAAATTTTGCATATATATCTCTTATAATCATTTATAATTATCATTAATTATCTAATTGGTCACTAATTAGTTAATTGTAAAAAACTACGTTATCGAAGAGTAGTTTGAAAACTGGGAATTTATAATGCATATCGTAATGAAACAACTATCCACATGAGTGCCATGCGGAAACATTTGACATGTGTAACGCACGTGCCTGGCCCTGCGCGCGCGCGTGGACAGTGTCATTCATGAATTTGCGAATCTTATTTAACAGATAGATGACCTTTAACGATCAATACTAATTTTCTGATTTGCATTCTTGTATAATTCATTGAAATTCTAATTGTAGGTATTTATAAAAAAACACGTTTAAGAACAGCAACTTTTAATTCGTCTCAGATTGTTCACCATCAATTTTCTATCATCGTTCATTTTTCATTTGTTTATTCTTTAGAGATTGATTCCCATTTTTTTAAATTTACAATTTAGAAATTTCTTTTTAGCTATTAGTTTTTTAGTACGTATGTAAAGAAAAGAATTAAGGCACGTTATTTGAAAAATAAAAGGTGAATGTGTAAACAAATAATAAAAAGAGAAGAAACATAACAATAAAAGAAAAAAATAATAAAAAATAGAGGAAAGACATACAAAAGTATCAAATATATACAAATATTTTTAAGAGAGATAATTAATCATTTAAGCCTTAAAATATATACGGCAAATAAGAAATGACAAAATAATTCAATGCAGTCCAATTATGGAAACTAAGCTACAGGTTTTATATAAAAATATTAAAATAGTTTTAATATACTTTAAATGTACGAGTACATTTAATATATAAAATATTTTAAATTAATTTTGCATATTGTAACTTAAAAAATAGATCAATCTGTGTTGATAAATTTATGGATGATATGATATATCGATAAAATCCAATTTGATTTCATATAATTCGATCTTTATCTCTTTTTCCGCCTGTCTCTCTCTCTCTCTCTCTCTCTCTCTCTCTTTCTTCACTTTCATTTTCGTCGCTGAATAAAAAGATACGCTTTTAACGCCCAAGCTGAAAAATCGCTCTCGCGTGGGTGTGACGAGAGGCGATCTCTTTCGTTATAAAAATTCAATTCAACGTGATGTACATTAAGGTGAGTTGCGGAGCGATATAAAAATGCTTGCAAACTCTATCAATACCACGTCCTTGGCGAGATACAGAAAAAATAAACGT